GTTGTTCAGCAAGTTCATGGCAGCAGCAGGGCTGGAGAGGGCAGAGCAGTTCCCCAAACACCAAACTTTCTATTGCTAGGAGACCCTTCCCTTCTACACACACCCACTCACAGGCCACTCTCTGGGTACAAGTCTAGATGGGAAAGACCTGAACAAAACAGGGATGAAACACACAAGAAATCAGGGGGAGACAAGGATGGCTGAGGACTATCTCCCAGTAGAGCTGGCTTAAGGAAGCCCTAGGTTCCATCCCCAGCACCAAGCCAAACACAAACAATGCTTGGTGGTGGCCAGCACTTTAGTCTTTTAAATCTCAGAACTCCACTCGGGAGGCAGAGGCAGGTGGAACCCTGTGAGTTGGAGAGACCAGCCTGGTCTATATAGTGAGTTGCCGGCCAGCCAGGGCTACACAGAGAAATTCTACCATGCCTCAAATAAAATATAGAACCCCTTCAAACTCCATGAAAGAGTAGCAATCAAATGGCCCCGCCAGGGGCAGGGGCTAGGGGCGACTGATCCCAGACGGAGGTGGGAGGTGGTATCTGGGAAAGAGTGCAGGGATGAGATGGCCAGTGGGAATTCTGGAGGGCTGCTGGGCTGGGTGTTGTCCTGCTTTCTGCTCTCTCTGTAAGACACTTGGTCATTATAGCACACTTGAAATGAGACAGACCTCTTTCCAAAGCAGTTGTCAGTTTCGGAAATAAGGAGATAAAGGAACCAAAGGAAATGTTAGCAAGATCCAACACAGTGTGGGGAGTCCATCATTTGTATAAATTCTTTTAATGGTTTTACAAGACAGGGTTTCTCTGTGTCTCTTTTCTTAAACAAAACAACAAAAAACAAGTGTTTTTGTATGTGCACAAGTGCCACAGTGTGTATGTGGAGGTCAATTCTCTCCTTCCACCATGTGGGTTCTGGGGATCAAGCTCCTTTCATCAGACTTGGTGGCAAGCCCCTTTACCTGCTGAGTAACCTTGAAGGTCCCAGTTTTCTTTCTTTCTCTTTTTTTTTGGGGGGGGGCTTTTTCGAGATAGGGTTTCTCTGTATTGCTTTGGAGCCTGTCCTAGAACTTGCTCTTGTAGACCAGGCTGGCCTCCAACTCACAGAGATCCACCTGTCTCTGTCTCTTGAGTGCTGGGATTAAAGGCATGCATCATCAATGCCCAGCCCTAGTTGTTTCTTTATAAGAGCAAAATTAGGCAGCTTTCATCTCTCCCTATATCAGAAGATAGTGCTGAGAAGCATGAAGGACACACTCTGGGCTAAGGAGCCCCACCTTAAAGAAAGGATACCATGCATTGAGGTGGTCATAGGTGGCTGAGAGCCCTCATTCCCAAGTGGGGAGAAGGTGTGGCTCTGGAGTTACAGAGGAACCAGTCCCTTAGGGGAGGAAAGAGCTCACTGGAGCTCCACTCCCAGTGAGTCTGAGTTTCTCCTCAGGTCAGTCTTCCTGGTGCACAAGAACCCAGGAGCCAGACGGCAGGCCCCTTGAATGCCGACCCAGCCCTCCTAGTTCTAGTTTTTCTTGGTGAATGTCCCTCACACTTCTTTCCTTTTTGTTGTGCTGGAGATGGAACTGAAGGTCTTGCCAGAGTCAGGCAAGTTCTACCACTGATACCTCATCTCTCGGCTTTTGGACAGTTATAACTCTGTAGACCAGACTGACCTCCAAGCCTCACACTGCTGGGGATACTCCTGCCTCAGCTTCCTAAGCACAGGGTTTACAGGTGCCCACTACCTATGGCTACATTTTTTTGGAGGGGAGGTGTTTAAAAATGTGTGTGTCCAAAGAGCCAGTGTGATCTTGTTTGATTGTGTGGATTATCCTGAATTAACCATTCCAAAAACATTTCTTAGTTCAATTTAACGAAGCCTATGGTCTTGCTTTAGCCATGGGCATACTGCAAGCCCCTGGTTCTCCAGTCTTTCTAGGTGCGAATGAGGTAGTCTGCAGTCTTCACAGGGACTCCAGAAGAGCTGTTGATGTCAGCCATCAAAGGTGAGCCCATCTTTTCAAGTTCACCTATCATAAAGCAGACTCTTGTTGCCGTCAGCACATTCCAATATAATAGAATGCTCATCTCTATTTAGTTCCAGAACTTCTAGGCCAGGAGGGAACCCAGTGTTTACCTACCACCATGCTCCTCTTCTCCCAGGCAGCTGCAGCTGCCTGCCAGCTCTGCCCTTTCACAGAACTGTACCGTCTGTACCTGGTTTGTTACAAGGATAACTGGAGACTTTCCTGCTTCTGTCTTCCTAGCCTGGGATTAAAGGAATGCACCATGATGCCATTTAAAAAAATTTTCTGGCAGGGTCTCAAGTAGCTCAGGTTAGCCTTGAACTATTTTTTAAAATTAGTATATATTTATTATTTAGGTATGCACACCCTGTCTGCATGTATGTCTGTATGCCAGAAGAGGGTATCAGACCCCATTATAGATGGTGGTGATCCACCATGTGGTTGCTGGGAATTGAACTCAGGTCCTCTGGACCTAACAGCCAGTGCTCTTAACCGCTGAGCCATCTCTCTAGTCCCAGCCTGAACTATTTAGTGGAGGCTGAAATTAATTTTCTTAGTTTTCCTTCCTCTATCAAGTGCTGGGTTTATAGATGTGTAATCATAATGCCCAGCATCAACACTGTGTTTCCAGGCTCATCTATGCTATAGGCTAGGTAAGTACTTTCCACTTTTCTTTACTGGAGTGTGTGTGAGTGTGTGAGTGTGTGTGAGTGTGTGTGTGTGTGTGTGTGTGTGAGTGTGTGTGTGTGTGTGTGTGTGTGTGTGTGTCCCTGGATGGCTTTAAACTCATAGAAATCCACCTGGCTTTACCTTTCAAGTGCTGGGATCAAAGACATGTACCACATCTGGTACACTTCAGATATTTTTAATGTTTTCACATATGTAAGCACACCATTTGCATAGAGGAAAGAGGGCACTGGAGCCCCTGGTACTAAAGTTAGAGGGGCTGTGAGCTGCTGTGGGGACTGGGAGCTGAACCTGGTTCCTCTTAAGAGCAAGTGCTCTTAACTACTGAACCCAGCCTTCTTCCCAACCCTTCATTTCACTCTTATTTACACTGATGTGAATGTGTGTGAGCAAGTGCCTGCCATGGTGGAGGTGTGGAGGTCAGAGGACAACTTAAGTTCATTCTCTTCTCTTCCACATGTGGGCTCTGGGGACTGAACTCAGGTAGTCAAACCTGGTGCATTTTTACCCATTCCATTTTTATGGCTGAATAATATGCCACTGTGGCTGGAGCAGATTCTTGCCAGTCCAGTCAATGCAAATGTAGGCTGTTTTTGCCTTTGTGCTACTGCATTCCACTGATGCTGTACAAGCACCTGAGTGTTTGTCTTGCAGGGTGCTTTGGGGAAACCAACAGAATATGAAGGTGCATTTATTGGATTAGCTTACATGACAACGGCTGAGTAGTCACAGTGGCCACCTCCATGCCAGAGTCTGAGAACTCAGCAGCTGCTCAAGTCACCAGGAGGCGCTGAGGGGCAGGAAGCTCCCCGGATGCTGCTGCCATGAGCTGTCTGGTCAGTGGGAAGGCTAGGACTGGAGTTTGATGGTGGCAGGCACCTCAGGGGGATTTGTGTACTGGAGCAGGGTCTTCTGTCCTCCCTGGCTTGCAGGGTGCAGCTCCGTCAGGGTGCTCATTACCTACCCAATGTCTGCTGCACCAGTCCTCTGCACGGCCAGCTGGACACAAAGAGCTACTGTCTACTAGTCCAGTTAAGCTGACAACCAAGTCCATTCCTCCCAAGTTTTTGTTTTGTTTTCTGAGACAGGGTCTATGTACCCTGGATGGCTTGGAACCTCTATCCTCCACCACCCCACCAGGCTGGTCTCAAACGCAGAGGTCTAAGTGCCTCTACTCACCAAGTGCTGGGATTAAAGGGGTTTGCCACTATGACTAGCCATCTTAGTGTTGCTACCACAAAACACCTGTGATAGGACTAGAGCTAGAGCTCAGCAGTTAACAGCTTCCACTGCTCTTATACCCATGTAGGGTGGCTCAGAGCTGCCTATCATTCCAGCTCTAGAGGGCAGGTTGTCTCTGGCCTCCTCAGGTACCCATTCTCATGTACACACACACACCACTTGCCCTTTTTGGTCCTTGGGCATTTTAATCTCAGCCCTTGGGAGGCAGAGGCATGTATAGCTAGCTGAGTTTGAGGCAGCCTGGTTTACACAGGGAGACTGTGTCTCAGTAAACCAAACTAAACCTGAGACAGACCACTGATGAGCTCAAGGTTCTGGGGCTGTATCTACAATGGAGTGGACCCATTCCTCAGGATCTGTGGTGAGGGTACCAGAAGGTACATGTGGTGGGGAGCAGCACCTCAGGACACTGTTCCATCACAAGTCAGAGCACTAACAACTGCCTTCAAGGTCCAGTCTTGAAGGAAGCCCCAGACTCTAACGGTGCCCTCCCTGCTCACAGCAGAGCAACTGTGTCCTGAGAGGACTAAAACCCAGCAGGTCCTTCCTCTGCAGTGCAAATGCATTGGGAGCTTAGATTAGGGTGAGCTTGCTAAGCACACATGAAGATCTGATGCCTAACAGCCAGCTTTGGTAAGCCAGGACCAGCCTGGGAGCATCAGATGATCTGGACACTAAATTCCAACCAAATTCCAACTGTGTGGGAACAGACTCACCCAGTCAGAGATGGGGGCAGTCACTGGTGACTCAACAATTTTCTGCCTCCTCAATGGGTGAAATGGCTGGACACAAAGGGATAGGCCACCAGCATACTCATCACTTGCCCCAGGGCCACACCAAGGGAGATGCCACCAGGTCAAGCACCCTGCGTATGACATGATCAGCATCTGGTTCAGCAGGAGTGAGCCCCTCAATGGACATATGCAGAGCTGGGCTATGGAGTAGGGTGGCTGAGCTGGCCAGGTCCTGGTCCTGGAGTGTTAGTAGGCTAGCTCACCCAAGCAAGACAAGATGTGGGGACAGAACAGAATGTAAAAAAATGGCAGGCAGCCTCTGTGAGCACAGCTTTATTGGGTAACAGTGGCCATCCCCAAGTGGCTCTGGATCACTAGTGTGACAGGATGAGATGGTGCCTCTGTGAAGATATGGAACCCTTCTTCATGTATAGGACAGTGACAACAGACACTAGATGACTAGAGTGTGTCCTGGAGACCCAGGAAAGAGATTACCTTCTCTGCCAGCTTCGGCTATTGATGCCATTGCCCTTTCTTGGGTCTGTGGCTGTCAAGGGCATTGTGTGGGTGGGAGAAGTTTCTTGTGGAGACCAGTGAGGCTCACCTAGCCCCCAAACAGCCTCCCCATTGGGCTGCTGGAGAGCTGGAGGGACATCAGAGTCAGATTCATCACACTGTCACCCCAGTAAAGACAGACCCTGAGCCTATAGGAAGCTGAGTGCCTCCTCAGAACCCCGCCGAGCTGGCCTCAGGCGCCATCATCACCTGCCCATTGCTGTCCCAGGTGCCATCAGGACTGGAGCAGGGTCCTCTTCAAGTCCAGCCAGCCTGTGGGGTCACCTGTAAAGTCCCAGTGCCTTTAGGATGGTGTCTTGCTGGGCGTGGTGGCCCCTTTCTTCTTTGATGCACCCTTCAGCAGTGTGAGCTTCTTAGGCAGGCTGGAGTTGGCTTTCATCACCACGTCATGCTCAATCTTCTTCCGGATCCCCACTTCCAGGGTCTGTGAGGGACACAGAGCAAGCTCTCACTCTCCCCAGCCTGAATACACACACATCCTCCTACATCCCCTCCTTTTGTTCTCTCAGAACAGCTTCAGACTCAAGCTGCCCCTGCCTGGACTTACCACTATAGGCCCAAGTGCTACCACGAACAGGTCAAAAGAACATATCTAGCATCGGGACAAAGAATCCTTAAAGGGCCAGTAAAGCTAGAGGGACAGAAGAAAGGATGAAAGGCAATGAGGATGGAGAGATGAAGAACTGGGGCTTTTGCTGACAGGAAGCAGACCTGGAAGATTCTGGGCAGAGGGGAACCAGCTGTGAGCAGATGCCTCAGCAGCTACAGCAGGAAGAGGATAGTGTTGGCAAGGAGCCAACCTTGAAAGTGGATGAGAGGTGATGGGGCAGAAGTAGGTTGATTCTGGATGTATGCTAACGGGACTAGACTGGATAAGAACAGAGTTCAAGGATGACCTCTGAACCTGGGAAGGCAAAAGGGGAAGTGGTCTACTGGTGGACTGTGATGAAACTCATCTAAGGGCCTGAGAGTGGATACCCCATGGGGCAGAGCAGGCTGCTGGGTTACCTGCCTAGGGGAGATGACTGGGAAGACAGAATGATCTACTCAAGCTTTTTTTGTTTGTTTGTTTGTTTTTTTTTTTTTTTTGAGACAGGGTTTCTCTGTGTAGCTTTGGAGCCTATCCTGGCACTCGCTCTGGAGACCAGGCTGGTCTCAAACTCACAGAGATCCGCCTGCTTCTGCCTCCCAAGTGCTGGGATTAAAGGAGGGCGCCACCAACACTCGGCCAGATCTACTCAAGCTTTAAGCCAGATTGGAGCCTCTAATTTCCCTACTTAACTTTTTATTTATGTGTATGAGAGTGTTTTGCTCACACGCATGTCTGTGTACCTCAGGCATGCATAGCCTGTAGAAGGGAACACTGGAGATCCCTTGGAACTGGGGTTATAGATGGTTGTGAGCTGACATGTAGGTGCTGGGAACTGAATTGAGGTCTGGTGGAAGAGTAGCCTGTGCTGCTGCTTCTGGCCTCCGTGGGCATGGGCACCCACCCACTCATATACATGTAATTAAAGCATACAGACCAGGCTGGCCTTGAACTCAGAGACCAGGCTGCTTCTGCACCCAGAGCGCTGGGATCAGAGGCGTGGGCTACCACGCCAGGCTTCAGCACTTCTGACCATTGAAGACCAATGTTCAGTTCCCAGCACACATAATGGCTCAAAATCATCCATAACTCTAGTTCCAGGGGATTGGACATCCTCTTCTGACCTCTTCGGGTCTGAGGCGCACGCTTTATGCACGCAGACACTCAGACACAAACAGATAAAACACTGATACACATAACAAACAAAAACCCCGAGGCTATTTGCTCACAGTCCCTAACCAGCATCTGAACCCCCGAAGCTAAGCGCGGGGTCTGGATCCATCGAACAAGGGAGGGCACAGACTCGGAGCTGGGATGCTCTCGGCCCGCTTCCATCCTCGCACCCACGGCTGCGATCCCCTCACCTTCTTCAGCTTTTGCTGCTGCACGACGCGCGCCTTCTTGGGAGCGATGACTCGACCTACGGAGTGACACCAGCCAGTGAGCCTGGGCCGCCCTCCCCAAGCGCCGCCGCCCTCTCGCTCTCGCCCCCACGCCTCTCCTCACCGCCTTTCCTCGGCCCTCGGCTCCGCTCCGCCGCAGCCGCTGCCTTGCTTTTAGGTTTCTGAGCCTGGAACTTGCGCTGTCCCTGCGCCATGTTTCACCACGAGCCGGAGGAGGCGGGGCCACGCGCAGGAGAACCGGAAGCCGCAAGACGTCATTGGCCACAGTGGGACCTAAGGCCGCAGGGGACTCAGAGGTGCACACTTAGAGAAGAATGGCTGTTCAAAACATCAGAAAGAAAATTGTTACCATTTTCAGGGGTCAGGACACTCGTGTAGTATAAAACACGATGGTTTGTGCTTTTTGTACATAAAAGGTCAAGTTAGACTTGGGGTGAGGCAAGCAAGGAACTCACTTTTGGTGGAAAATTAAGGGAGTGCCAAAAAACTTCAGTCATCATTGGTGACATGGCCCTGTGTGTAAAGGTGCTGACGAGTTCAATCTTTTTTTTTTTTTTTTTTTTTTTTTTTTGAGACAGGGTTTCTCTATGTCTTTGGAGGCTGTCCTGGAACTAGCTCTTGAAGACCAGGTTGGCCTCGAACTCACAGAGATCCGCCTGCCTCTGCCTCCCAAGTGCTGGGATTAAAGGCATGCACGCCACCGAGTTCAATCTTGGGTGGTGGCACATTCATTTAATCTCAGAACTCAGAGAACTGACGCCTGCAGGTTTTTTGTTTGTTTTTCAAGACAGGGTGTCTATGGAGCCGGTCCTGGAACTCACTCTGTAGATCAAGCTACCCTAGAACTCAGAGAGATCCGCCTGCCTCTGCTGCCTGAGTGCTGGGATTAAAGGCGTGCACCACCACCTGGCCTGCAGATTTTTTTTAATCACATTCACACACATAATAAATAAACATGTCACTAAAAAAACCCTTAGGTTATCATGATACATTAATTTTGCAGCTGTGCTGGGGATGGCACTCAGCCTCACACTTGCAGCTCAAAAGCTGTCACAGTCACAGAATCAGCTATGTTCTTTTCAATAACTATATTTGTTTTCTCAAGACAGGATTTCTCTGTGTGGCCCTGGCTGTCCTGGAACTCACTCTGTAGACTAGGCTGGTCTAGAACTCAGAGATCCCCCTGTCTCTGTTGGGATTAAAGGTGTGTGCCACCACCCAGCTTTTTTCAATGTGAAATGATTTAAAATAATCTGGGTGGTGGTACACCGGATCCAGGAGGCAGGCGGATCTCTGTGAGCTCGAGGCCAGCTTAGTCTACGGAACGGATCGAGTTCCAGGACAGGTTTCAAAGCTACACAGAGAAACCCTGTCACGGAAAACAAAAACAAAACAAAACAAAGATTTAAAATATACACCTGGTGGCTGGGAACATCACTCAGTGGTAAAGTGCTTACTGCTCATGCATGAGGACCGGAGTTCCATCCTCAGTGAGTGATGGTGGGCAGACCTGTGATCCCAGTGCTGAGGAGGCTGAGGAGGGGAGGGTCCCTGCAGCCTAGCCTATTTGATGAGTTCCAGGTTCAGAGACTATCAAAAATAAAATAGATAGATAGATAGATAGATAAATAAATTGAAGCAGGTTGTTGTGGCTCACACCCTTGACCCTTTGCTCAGGAGGCAGAGGCAGGTGGATCTCCGTGAGTTCCAGGCCAGCCTGGTCCACATAACAAGTTCCAGGCCAGCCAAAGATACACAGACTCTGTCTTAAAAAAACAAACATTTATCTTGATTACTGAACTTTGGTGTCCTCTTTTAGTGCACTTGTTGCTTTTGCAGAGAGGCTCTGGGTTCTGTTCCCAGCATCCACATGGCAGCTCACAACCATCAACAACTCCAGTTCCAGGATATCCAGTGTCCTTTTCTGGCCTCTGAGGGCACCAGGCCCTTGCATGTAAAGCACACATACATAAAATAAAAATATATAGCCGGGTGGTGTTGGTGTATGCCTTTAATCCCAGGACTTAGGAGGCAGAGGCAGGCAGATCTCTGTGAATTCAAAGCCAGCCTGGTGTACGAGTTCCAGGACAGTCAGGGTTACTTAGAAAAATCCTGTCTTGAAAAAAACAAACAAAAAAACCCAAACCAAACCAAAGAAACAAATACTTCAAAGACAGCTAAGATCATCCTGATTATCTCTACATTGTTTTTTGTTTTGGTTTTTTCTTCAATCTATAGTCTAAAACCCAAAGAAATCCTTCTGCCTCAGCTTCCCAGGAGGGTAGCTAAAACCCAAAGAATCCCGCCTCAGCCTCCCAGGAACTGGGATTACAGTTGTGTACCCCCACATCTGGTTTTGCACCCCATGTATAGGTCATACAAAGGATGGAGCTGAAATGTATAAACTCGGGCAGCTTTGTTGTGGATGCTGGGACTCTGCAGAGTCAGGTCTGCTCCAGTAGCTAAAGGAGGGGTGTGGGTGAGCTTTGGGGTAGCCATTTGAAAACTTTATTATAAAACCAGAGGAACCACAGCAGGTGGTGGTTGGGTTGTGGAGAGCCAGCTAGTCACATCTGGGGACTATCTAGGGTCTGTTCCTCTGAGTAGATGGAGGTACTTAGGGCTGCTCGGAGCTCCTCAGGGGCAAAGACACCCAACTCAGTGATGATGCCACCGGTGATGAGTTCGTGGGGGGTGACATCAAAAGCAGGATTCCAAACCTGGATTCCTGCAGGGAGAGAGGGTACATCAGGTGAGGATTTGGCTCTGAGAACTCCCTGGCTGGTGTCATTTGTCCACAGCAATTCTTGGGGCAAGAGAGTCCTTGAGAATCTAGGAGTTCACACATACCAAATGGCTCACAAAGGTACAGGCACTGAGGCGACAGCCACAGCTCCTGCTGCTCATGGCCTCGGCCTTATGGACCCCATTCTTGCCTGCTCCAAAGAGTTTAAGAATTTCAGAATCTGTCCCAGAGCTTCTGCACTGACTCAAATGTGGGTGTGCTTTGCTATTACATTTGTTTTGGGGGTTCTGAGGATGAGGCAGAGCCCTTCATAGATGTTTTGAAAATCAATTTCTTTTTTTTCTTTTGGTTTTCGAGACAGGGTTTCCTCTGTGGCTTTGGAGCCTATCCTGGCACTTGCTCTGGAGACCAGGCTGGCCTCGAACTCACAGAGATCGGACTGCCTCTGCCTCCCGAGTGCTGGGATTAAAGGCGTGCACCACCAACGCCCTGCTGAAAATCAATTTCTAAAATGTAATTATTTCTCTAACACAGGGTCATACATGTGGCTTGGGCTGACCTCAAATATTCTATGTAGCTGAGGCTGGTTTTGAAGTCCTTGTCTTCCTTCCCTTACCTTCTAGGTTCACCAGATGTGTGCCACCAAGACCAGCAAATTATCTGAAAATACCTTGTTTATTCTTTAAGACTTTTTTTAAAATGTGTATAAAATGTATTTTGACTATTTTTAATGTAAAAAGTTTTTGATGTAGTATTGGGTATTGAGTCTCAGTTCTTGTACCTTCTGGCAAGTGCTCCATATCTGAGTTACATCTGTGGCCCCTTCAAAAATGTTTATTTTGAGATAGAGTTAATGTTGACTAGGCTAGCCTTGAACTAGTGATTTTCTTGCCTCAGCCTCAGCCTCATGAGCAGCCATCAGGCCCCAGCTTTCTGATTTTTTTTTTTTTTTAAAGACAAGGTTTCTCTGGGTAACAGCCCTGGCTGCCCTGCTGGAACTTACTCTGAGATCAAGCTGGCCTCAAACTCAGAGATCTGCCTGCCTTCTGAATGCTGGGATCAAAGGTGTGCACCATCACCACCCAACTCTTTCTGATTTTTGAGATGGGGGTCTCACTATGTATCCCAGGATGAACCTGAAGTCTGAGCAGACCCCCTGCCTCAGCCTCTCCAGTTCTGGGAGCACAAGTATCATCCCTGGCTGTCTATACAGATATTTGTCAATCAGAGAGAGACTTGTCAGTTTTATGCTTTTCTGATTGTTTTTGGTGTTTCAGACAGGGCCTCACTTGGCAGTACACACTAGCCTGAAATTCACTTGTACCACCTGGTCTTGAACTTGTGCAGCTCTCCTGCCTGGGCTTCTGGAATGCCGGGATTACAGGTTGCACCACCATGCCTAGCACTATTCTTTTTTTCTTTTTTTAAGATTTTATTTATTTATTATGTATACAACATTCTGCTTCCATGTATATCTGCACACCAGAAGAGGGCACCAGATCTCATAACGGATGGTTGTGAGTTACCATGTGGTTGTCAGGAATTGAACTCAGGACCTCTGGAAGAGCAGTCAATGCTCTTAACCTCTGAGCCATCTAGCACTATTCTTTGTGTGCATGTGTGTGCTGATGCATATAGAGGCCAGCAGCCAGCCTCAGTTGTGGTTCCTCAGGAACCATCCAGCTTAGCTTTTGAGACAGTCTCTCACTGAATCTAGGACTGGCTGATTAGACTCAGCTGGCTAGAAGTACCAGGGATTTGTCATCTCTGTCTCCCCAGCACTGAGATTATAAACCTGTGCCATGCTGGGTGGTGGTGGCACACACCTTTAAACCCAGATTTGGGAGGCACAAGCAGGTGGATCTATGTGAGTTCAAGGTCATCCTGGTCTACAAAGTGAGTTTCAGGACAGCCAAGGCTACCTACATAGAGAAACCTTGTGTAAATCAATTAATAAAAAAAACCTCAGTAAATCAATAAAACAAACAAACAAATAAACAACAACAAACAAAAACCCACCCATGCCACCACAGCTATCTTTTAAAAAGTTGGTTCTGGGCACCAAACTCAGTTCTCCATCCCAACACTCTACTACTGAGCCCCACCTCTACCCACCAGCACAGTTTACAAAGTCTGACCTTGAATGTAACCTCCACCATCAAAATGTAGCTGAGGAGGAGGGTGAATGAGCAAAGCAGCTCATGCCACTGAAGCCCACAACACAGAGTGCCAAGCCCACACCTTACCCTGTGCAGCAATCCTGACTCCATTCAGGTCAGTCAGCTCCTGGCTAGGGCGTTCCTCTATGACAATCTCCCTGCCAGTCTCAAGTTGGAGGTCACAGGATGAGCTGGGGGCAGCCACGTAGAAGGGGATTCCGTGGTGCTTGGCGACAATGGCCAGTTGGTACGTTCCTATTTTGTTGGCTGTGTCTCCGTTGGCAACGACACGGTCGGCTCCCACTACCACAGCTAGGGGGTGGGGTGGGGGACAGTT